GGGGGGGGGGGGGGGTGGAGTTTGGGCAAGGGGTGGGGATTTGACAAATTTCAAAATTTTTTGATCAAATTCCCCAGAGTGGGAAACGAAAGGTCAATCAAAAGTGTCAAAAAAGCCCCCACCCCAGGGGAAAAATCTAAACAAACAATACTATAATACTACATAAAACGAATGAAAGAACATTTCAAAAGTACGTTCTTACTACTTTTATTTAAGGTTAACGTAAGCTCCGTTAAATTACTCGCTGTAATTAAGTATTTTTTCTCTCCACTATTTTGAACAACATAATCATTCCAGGAAGATTGACCGTGCTATTATATTAATGAAACGTAAAATGCTTTATAACATCGGATCAACAAGTCGGAACAGGTCGGATCAGTGACCTGTCAAAAATCCTCTGACTTTCATGGTAGAATTCGATTTCAATCGAGGTTTACAATCAGATGGGAACTTGAAGATAAAAACTTTCTCAAAATAGACATTATCTGTTTAGATGACAGTGTACATGTAAAGTATCGGATTATCGCGATTAAAACAAATGAAAACTTCATAACTTTCTCCAACAGCGTGACTTTCAGAAAGCCTCGAGGGACGGACTTGGTTACCGCTTCTGAATTGATACCAGGCTTCTATCGGTCAAAGTCAAATGTCCCGACCCCGGGGTCGCTTCGCACGATCAAAAGCCCGACACGGGGATAGTCTCAGGCATCAAATCCCCGCCCCTTGCCCGCACTCCCCCCCCCCTCGGGATTTACATTGATAGGTGCATAAGCTATGACCATGTAGAAATTTTATTTCTAAGGACAGGTTTCAGGTAACCAACGTCTACATGAAGGTTTTTAAACATTCCCAGAAATGGCCTTGAACAGCGTGACCCCACGGATAGTCAAGAACTGTTTTTGCCCAACCGACCGACCCACTTTGAAGGAACAAAGAGCGCTGGGAAACGAAATCCTTTATCGGCATGGCGTAGCTACTGGGCCTCAGCTACGTTTTCTTGTTCGGGGTGTTGCAAGGAGACAGAAAAGTAAGAGAGAAATTACTGTTATACAAACAAGAAAAATGAAACTGTTGGTTTTAAAAACTGACCTTAACGTTTTATACCTTTCGGTAGTCACACAACCCCGGAATTTTTAAGATGGTTTGCATTCGAAAAATGTTTCACCAGTTGTTCTGGAGGCTGAAAGTGCTAGAAAAAAGGTTGAATTCCACTTTAAATGTTCTTCAACTTAACCTTAAGCATGGGGATATAGCCTGAAAATACATGCGTTTCTCCTTGCTCCTTGCGAGACGTTTCGCGGGGGAGACGTTTGCGATTCGGCCGGGAAACGTCACTAGTGGCGTTAGGTTATATGGGAATATTGCCATTATAATAGTAATGAAAACCATGAAAAATATCTACGTACTATGCTAACGTAAAAAGGAACTAAGAGGAGTCCCTCATCAGACTAGAGGGCTGTGTTACAGATGTAAATCTCGAGAAATTGAATTATTTTTGAAGCAGTTTAAACGATAAGAACAGCAAAAGGAGCGTACGAAAAGACAGTCTTTAAGCTTTATTTGCCCCTCCAAACCGTCTCCTCCCCATTCTCCAAACGGCTTCGCAGCTCCTCTGCCAAAAACTTTGCTCGCGCGAAAGATCCCGCCGGCTACGCAGTCAGTCATAACAGTATAAACAAAAACGTAAAATCAGTAATCCGTTTGCAAGTTATAGATCAGCAACTGCGGTGATATGTTCAAACATCGCATACAAATAAAGTTATGAAACTGCTTCACACACCGAAGCCAACTCAATCACTATATTTTAATGCTTGCTTTTCAAAATGTTATCTTGTATTTTTCTAGCATTCCATCTATTAAAAGAACGTTATAAATTATCTATATTTTTGATATGTATAAGGACATGTTCTAACATTCGTACTATGGTTTCATAACTTGATAAATAGACCATATAGGCTTCATATGGACAGATTCGTCTGCCCTGACCATTTCACTCACCATTTCATTTTCAGATAAAATTTCAAATAATAATATCGTCTTATATGTTTGCCGTTAAATTTTCTAATATTCTGTTATTTAGAGCGACTACGTCACGCTATTTTAGGGAACTGTCTTTCGTTAGTAAACATCGAATTGGAAAATCTCAATGTACGTTTCAGTGACAAATCACGTCCGCAGAACAACGATATGATTTTCAGCAATATACAAGAAACTTTGACTTTCAAAAACTCCTGAAACTTAAAAAGGTCGGACTAGCATTTTCAGTTTTTCATTAACGTTTTCGAATTCTCTACTGACTTGAATTCCAACAGTCACGTCTTTTAAAGGGACAGGTTCACGGTTAAGCGCATGCTCATTAATCAAATTAAGTTTTTGCGATTCATTATTAATTCTATCGGTTAATAATACATGTATCTCAGCGATCTCACAGTGTATTTCAAAGTAGAAGTGTATTTCANATAGGCTTCATATGGACAGATTCGTCTGCCCTGACCATTTCACTCACCATTTCATTTTCAGATAAAATTTCAAATAATAATATCGTCTTATATGTTTGCCGTTAAATTTTCTAATATTCTGTTATTTAGAGCGACTACGTCACGCTATTTTAGGGAACTGTCTTTCGTTAGTAAACATCGAATTGGAAAATCTCAATGTACGTTTCAGTGACAAATCACGTCCGCAGAACAACGATATGATTTTCAGCAATATACAAGAAACTTTGACTTTCAAAAACTCCTGAAACTTAAAAAGGTCGGACTAGCATTTTCAGTTTTTCATTAACGTTTTCGAATTCTCTACTGACTTGAATTCCAACAGTCACGTCTTTTAAAGGGACAGGTTCACGGTTAAGCGCATGCTCATTAATCAAATTAAGTTTTTGCGATTCAATATTAATTCTATCGGTTAATAATACATGTATCTCAGCGATCTCACAGTGTATTTCAAAGTAGAAGTGTATTTCAGAGTAACCTGACGTAGGATGGAGGACTACCAAATCGCAGAAAAAAATCAGCGGATTATGCCAACACTACCAACGTTGAATTTATTGTTGACCCGACGGTTTTATTCCATGGTTGATTAATTTACAGCTATTTGCAAATATTTAAGTTGATCAAGTGCAAGTGACTGTCTGGGGAGTGTGCAGATTGGTTCTTTGACAACATTATGACATTATCGTATTGTTTGCATAGACGATACAGCATGTCCCGGCAACAAAACAACATTTTGATAAATGAGCATGCACTGACCGTGAACCTTTCCCGTTAACAGTTATTAGTGGTTGTCGTGAGACTGAAGCCACCTTTTTATGCTGAAACTGCCTAAAATTTAGTAACATATAGCCCCTTCAAAAGTAGTAATTCTACTTCAGACGAAAGTGTAATACAACTTTTTTTCAAAATTGGTGGCAAATTTAGGTACTCTTTTGTGTGTCTGGTTTTTTTTTAATATTCATTTGTGTTAATGACAACTAGCTCTCGATGCCTAAAGTTAAAAGTTATTTTGAATTGATGAAATCAGTGCAAAGTGGGCTAATTAACGGAAATACAACGGAAAAGTAATATTGCCACCATTTTGGAAAAAAGGTGTATCCTGGCTTACTATTTGCCTAAGTAGACAAAGAAGACATAAGCACTTTACACATAATAGAGTGTCTACTGAGTTAAAAACTCTATTCTGCTTGGCACAATGTTATACATACCTTATAATTGTGCAATAAATATAGCCGTGTAAACTGTATAGCATGACGTGCATCGTCAGCAATAAAATTTTATCGCAAATTTTCTACCTTTGTGTGATTGTACTCATATATTCAGGTAAGATATTTACATTCATGTATGTTGTGTTCACACCATCAACATACGTTTAGAGTGTATATGTTCGTGAACGGAGCACGTTTCCTGTTAAAGTGTTTCGCTTTGAAATTTTAACGTCGCATTAGCCGTTAATCTCTTAGAATTTCCGTTATTATATTTTTTCCACATGAGTAAGAATAAGATTGTAAACTCATTAAGACTTCTTCCGTCTATACCTGACAGATGGATATTTTCATCAAAGAATTTACTTAATTTAGGAAACGATCTCCACATTTCTTCCACACATTAGGTCGCACACTAGGCGACTTCTTGCTTAACAACACTTTGCAAACAGGTTTAAACTCACAAACAAACCTAAAATCAAAGACCTCCTACTTCTACCCGTATACCCTGCTCTCTTATAATAAACATTAATTTTGTTCCAAGTTTTTATATAAGCCGATACTGATATACATGTAATAATAACGAAGCATTTTCTTCAGTACGATAATTCTAGATCCATTATATGTATCTTTATATTAATATATCTTTGAGATATAGCATTTTGTGATCTGTTTTAAAATAGTACACATCTGTATTCAACATGGAACTGGTAACAAGTACAGCTACCGTTTTTCAGAGAGAAGAGCACCTAAGGCCAATTGACCTCCTTGTCATTCCCCCATACAATGTGGGGCAATCTGATAAAGCAAAAATACCTAAAATAGTATGATATAATTAAAAATATATACAGTAGGAATAAAAAATTACAGTAAAAGAAATGAACAAGAACCTATTTTCACGAGCATAGACATAGAAATACTAATTAGACAACGTCCTCTTATCTCCATGGTGAAACTATTTGACTTTGCAGCAGTTATGGGAATTCTTTGCCCGCTCTGGGAAGTCATATGACCGTAGTGTAAAGCCGTCTACAAAATCAAAATCCCCATGATCTCCATCCAACACCTAGGAATTTTAAAAAGTGTATGTAAATACCATTCGTGGCAAAGATAAATCAGCAAAATTCACTTCGTGCAGGACAAGTGAAATGAAGACGGAATTACCTTAGCCTAAGTGGCAGGGGGCAAAATGTGTAGCGGGAGGGGTAGGGGGAGAAAAAAGAGCTAGTCCCTTTTTCGCTTTCCCTTTCCTCCCTTACTTATTTCGAAGCCTGCCTCGCAGGCTAGAATAAGCTCCGTCGGCAGAGCAGTGCCCTGCAGAGCGGAAGGTTGAGGGTTCGTTCCCAACCAGGGTCTAGTACTATCTTTGTCCTTTTTAAAAACGGCTAGACCTCAGCCACATGGCTCGGATGACCACGTCAAAAAAGCGGTAAGGAAATGTATGAAAAGTTGACTTGCCAAGGGTGGCTCGGGTAGGCGAGTGACCCTTCTACCCAGGACAGCTTTTCTCCATATAAACGGGGCTTTGGTTTGTAATCGCTTTTAATGTAGTAGAACGATTTTCGTATGAATTTGAAAAATGGTTTCGGTAAGTGTTCGTTATTTGTTTTATCAGCCAATGGATGAAAAGATCAAAACATGGATTCTTCGTTTTCCCGCCTAAGAAAACCCTAATATTGAGAAGGCATTGTTCGATTGACCAGTCGTGTTGCAGTATGACGTGAAGGCGAAGTATCGGTTGATTTCTAGAAAGTTCTCAGGCATTACGTTTTTTCACCAGAGTATTCACTAAACCAACCAAAAGCCACGCCCGTTTGTATCCCTTCGATAAACCAATCAAATCGCTCCATTTCCGTTCGTTTGTTGTTTCTGTTTTGTTCCCGCATTTTCATTTCAAGGTCGCTCTATAGTATACGCTGTCTTTGTGGCAAACAAAGGAAGTTTTCGTGACTTCAAGGTGTGTTAACAAGCGTTTTTGTCACATATTTTTTGTCGAAACATATTCCGCGGCTATTACACGATAATTCTACTTATGACAAAGTAGTACGTTATTTCATAAAATAGAAAGGAGAAAAAAACTAATTCATAAGTGGAAGCGAATTTCATAATCATCGGCTGTAGTCTTCAAAGAACATCTTTCTTATTTCACGTGCTTCAAAAAGCAATAATTTTATTTGAGCGGTACTGGGCGTATTCAAAGGTGTCAGTTATTGATATTTTGACAGTTTAGAGAGGCATTTATTTCGGTGTTTCTTTCTTTAAATAAATACTCAAAGAAACATAATATACACGAAACTGGAAATAGTGTGAAGGATTTTCAACTTACTAGGTTAGGGTGATTTGCATACTTCATGCTTTTCGCCAGCTCTTCAAACACCTATAAGTAAAAGTTAAGCGTAGACGTCTCATGTTTACCACTCACACGTGAATGAAGTACAAGTAGATTTAAAATCTCTGCCAAATGTTCCGAAAATAACCAATTCAGCAGTCGTTGGCAATTGTCACTTAAGAGCGGATGAGCCAGAGTCAAACATTGATGCCATGCACGTTTTATACCGTAAATGAACGTCCCACTGATGTGGTGGGTAGTTTCCCAAAGACTTGCACTGATTTTAGAAAATGAGGAACTGAGATGCCCACCTACCTCTCCCCCAACCCAACATCAGCACCTACTTCCTACTTGCGGTAAAGTGTTCAGTTAAAGCAGGGGTAGGTTAGGTGGGTAGTTTCCCAAAGTCATTGAAAAGTTGAATAGTAAGAGGGAAGGGTAGACTTTCTCAAAGATCGTTTCCGATTTCTGCTGGTCAGGTGGTAGGCACATGTAGTGTGCATAATTTTATATTTTCACATTTATAAGATACCGATATATCACGTTTGCTTCCACAGAAACAGATAATCTTTTAAAAGAAAAGCTGCTAATAAATGCTCTTACAGAACTCCATTTTTTTAAACACGTACGAAGCTCTCTGCGTACGGGGGGTCCGCTAAATATGGAGTCAGCTGAACAACTTGAAAACAAACAAACGAATAATTAATATTTACCTCTTGAACGTTTTCTTTTGATTTTGCACTTGTTTCATAAAACTTCAAACCCAACTGCCTCGCAAACTGTGTGAAGAAAAAACAATATATTGCAGCACAGGTAGCCCAGGCTCTATCAGTCTATTTCGCAAAAACGAAAATAATAGGATTTGCCAAAAATATGCGATTCTCATGGTAAAATAAATAACGTTACGATTATTGTTTAGTTTTTCAATAAATATCGCTTACCTTAAGTCACTTGTTTGTCTTTTTTCGTTTTCTGCTGGTTTCGGGTCGATTTGGGGCCATTTCATGATCATGAGGTTTCAGTTTCAACGGCTATTATATAACTGCCATTGATAGGCAGAGGGATACTGCTTCATGTGTTCGAAATTGTTGTGCAGTCTCATTGCTTAAATTCATACCGAAACGACCGGTTTCCGTATTTGGCACATATACTAATCTGCAATCTGACTAAGCAATAGTCTAGTACCTCTCTAAGCAATCTGCAAGTATATACGCATAATATTTGGATTCACCACGTTACTCCCGGAATTGACTGGACATAAAGAGGTGCCGCCACTTACATTTCACACCGAGAAAACAAGGTTCTCAAGATAGTTATTACATCTTTGAGTTTAAGTAGAGAGGGCAAGCTTTCAATTCAAGCGGAATGGCTATTGACGGTTTACTCGGGCCAAATCCTATTCACGGGTAACTTTTATTGGCTTCTGACAGGGTGGCTTTTAGTCGGCAAAAAAACATTTAACTCGTAACAAACACGTAGTCCAAAACTGCAAAAACTGTTTTCCTGTAACGAATTTTGACAGAAAACTTCTGAAGTGAGCGTTCCGTACAGCGAAATTTTCAGCCGCCCGAATAGACTAAAGCGCGCATACCGACTGAGAGTTACAGTAAAAGAATTATCGACTTTTTGAACCACGTCCTGTAAAAGTGAATTTTGCTGCGCTTACCTCCTGCCCAGCTTGAGTGTCTACCTGCCATCTACGTTTCTCAAAATCAGACTTGTTGCCAACTATAACAACTTCTTCATACATGAGATCATGCTGTAACATTAAACGACAAATAAATAGTATTGCGGTAACCGTTCTTGATTGATCCTAATACTTGTCTCCTTTCTACTCACGATTTTCAACATAATATCATAGGTGACGAATTACTCCTTAATTTTGGCGCAAAATTTCAGCGTTAGTTTTTCCGTACGTCTCAGTGTCAAGATGGCGACGAAGTTTTAAAATGCCGTGACAGAATATGTCAGGGCACAAGAAGACACTTCAGAAAACCTGAACACACGAAACAGCACATCAAGAAGGATTCTAATAGGTATTTTGTCGAAAAATTCTGAAAATTCTGAACTTAAGACATTAAAGTCTAAGCATTTGAGAGAGTGGAGTTCTCGATCGATACGATCCAGGATAAACACATCAAAAATTCGCGATTGCTAACGTAATTCGTCACCCATGATGTTAACAGGTAATCAAATGGTATACGCGTGAAATTAGCGAATAATCTCATGCGCGTTTTGTCCAAACCCTAATAATTTCCCGAGCCTTTAGGCACCATTTGATTACACATACTTATCGCTATCACTATTATTATTATAACTATAATTATTATAACTACTATTATCATTACTGCAAGGAGCCCAAAAGTGTGACCGCTTTTGATTTATTCACATTCTTTTGTACAGATTTAATCCAATCAGAAGCCAGCTGAAAACTGTCCTCGACTTCTGATTGGTTAATGTCTGCATGAAAGAATGTGAGTTAATTAAAGAGGTCACACTTTTGGGCTCCTTGCTGTAAGTGAGCTATTTACAAGGCTAAAAATATATATTTAAACAGATAAAATCCAAAAATTTCCGACACCATCTCATCATCACGGTAAGAAAATACCATCCGCTAATTACATCTTTTATATCCTTGATGGGTAATTTATGCCGATGGGAAAAGTTTCGCAAGGTAGGAGTTAATTTGCCTATTCAAGATACAATAGGCCTCAGTTGTTGAATCATTAGACCTTCCAAGATTCTGCCCTGATGGAATGATTTGGCTGTGAAGAGTGTGCGCCAACTAAATTATTATTTTTTCGTGCTTGAGGAGGTAAGGGGTACTTAATCAACATATACCTTATTCATTGCATTCACCCAGTACTGAAGTTGATCAAAAGAGCCAATATTTGTGATGTCATACACTAGCAATATGCCCTGTAATGAAACAATGATTGGTTAAACCGATCATATCCTTTGAGATGCTAACTAACAGAATATCAATAGTTAATATCTTCTTTTACAACAATTTTTGGACTGACCGATGGCAACTCATCGACAATGTATTATTTTCACATAAATTGGGCGGGTTGCCTATTTATATTTTTCTTTCCGTTTTCTATACGTACTTACTCCTGGCTTCATCTTCTTGTTTGTGTACCAACATTTACGTTTACAGGTATCATTAAGTGACTAGTGTCTAACTCGAAAATCATACTGGCATTTACACTAGGCATTTCCTTATTAGAACTGTAACTTGTATTTATTATTTGTAACTTGAGTTTTTACTATGTACATATATTTAACTTATTTCTGAACCCTGTAACAAATTTATATGTTTCAAAATATTTGCTTTGTACGTTTGAAATGTGAATGTATCGTATCGTATCGTATCGTATCGTATGGCATGGATGAGTGGTCAGTACCTAACCCGGCTCCCTCATCAGCTCTATGCTCGTGAGGACGAAATGCAAAACCGGCGAATGAGCTCGTTGTTAGCCAACAGTCAACATCCTGGTGCTGTGGATTGCAAAGGGCACAGCTGAACAGACTCAGACCTGGTGGGCATCCACTGCATACTTCTTTATATCCAGTGGTCTCGATTATGTCCTGCTGTTGGGCCCAGATAACTCATGATCACAGCCAGAGACTGAGGCTGACAACATCGTGAAACTCTACCCCACTTGAATCTTATTCACAGGCAAATCAAGACATAACCCTCCCCCCAAACCATTTAAGTCCTGTGGCGATGGGGGAGTGGCGAAGAGGCAGGTGTGAATTAACTGAAAGCTTTTGTCACAGAACCTTCACACATGCAGTACTAGGTTGCTCTCTACAAGACTAAAGTAGCACTGCAGTTCGGCATCCCCTGGGTGTCTGAACAGTCCACTTCAGCCCTCTGCTCACCTCCATGGCCTGAGGAAAGGGCAAGAAAAGACACCCCAAACATAGGCTTGTCACTCCACCCTGGCTTGCTTAACAAGGTAGGAGGGGATGCCATCTATGCAGTCAAAATTACAAGTTTAAAAAAATTTGACATTACTAACCATTGGCACATGGAATGTGTGTATGCTCATAGACAGCATCGAAACTGACCTGAGAGACAGACAGCACTTACTGCAAGAGAACTCGGCAGGTGCAACATTCATATCGCCGCACTGAGTGAGAACACGTTATCAAATAAAAATTCGTCTGGCTACACCTTTTTTGGAGCGGTCGCAACAGTGAAGAACGTCGTGAAGTGGGAGAGGGTTTTGCTCTCAGAAATGATGCGATCGGTAAGCGTACCAACCTTTCCAAAAGATTCAATGATTACCTCATGACTCCACGCTACCATTATCAGTGCATATGCACCAACAATGATGAATCCAGGAGACCAATGATAAATTCTACGAGCATTTGGAAAACATCATTGAAGGCATACCAAAAGAGGACAAAAAGTCGTTGTTCCTGGAGACTTTAAATTAAATGCTAGAGTGTGCACTTACTACAAGACCTGTGAGGGAGTCATTAGGAGGAAAATGCGAAGGTAATAGGCTATTACTTTTGAAGACCTGTTTTCTTTTTTTTAAACCTTTTGATTACCAACACAGTTTATGTTATCGACAGGAGAAGAGATAGGCAGGACGTTACAGTGAGAAAAGCAACTTGCGACGCAGACTGCTAAACTCATGATGACTAATCTCAAAACTCAACATGCACATCCTGCTCAGGTAGCACTCACATGGGAAAACGACGAACAGGCTGCAAAAAAGCCACCAAGTTAGAATGACAAAGACAAGGACAACAAGCTAAGCCAGCTCGATTTAGGAGCAAATGGAGTAGAGAAAGACAGGGTAAGGCTCAGAGGTACAGTTTACCACACCACATTCACTTATCTTGATAGGAATACAGGCAAACATCAAGACTGGTTTGAGGAGAACGATGAGGAAATCTAAAAACTGCTAGATGAGAAGCGTGGCACTTAGAGGGCATCATCAAGACAGCAGCTCTACCTCCAAGAGGGCAGCCCACTATTCCACCAAGTACAGACAAAGCTCAGAGAGAAGCAGGACACCTGCTTAGCAAAAAAATGAGATTCAACACTACTGTCTACACGGACAGCAACAACATTTAACGCTCCTATGATGCCCTGAAGACCATCTATGGACCTCAGTCCTCTGGCACATCACTATTATTTGGAGCTCACAGGACATCCTTACTCACTGAGAAGAATACCATCCTGGTCACACGAGTGGAACATTACAACAGTGTCCTAAATAGGCCCTCTTCCATCAATGTTCAAGCTATTGTACGTTACCTCAAGAGGAGATCAACAATTCCTTGTCAGAGCCAACCATAGAATCAGACATTCCGAAAGCGGTCAATTCCCTTTCCAATGGAAAGGAATGTGGACCAGATTTCATCTCTGCTGAAGTCTTCAAGGAAGGAGGGCCAGTCCTATTTCTAAGTTCACCAAGCTTTTGCAATCCACTTGGCAGTAGGAGGTCATTTCTCAGAAACCCAAAGATGCCTCCATTGTTTATCTCTACAAGAGAAAAGGGAACAGGTAATTATGTGACAATCACCAAGGGATTTTACTGCTAGTCATCACTGGCAAGATCCTTGCAAGAGTCCTCCTCAACCGCTTTATTCAGTGTTTGGAAGATAGCCACCTGTCTAATCACATGTGTGCCCTTAATGCTGCCACTAAGACCGTGATGTAGCTGAGCATCGACTGATTTTCTACCACTTGCAACAACTTTGGGTTTTCAATTAATACCAAGAAAACTGGCGTTCTATACCAGCCAGTTCTGTAGAAGATGTTTGTAGTACCAGCCATCACTGTCAAAGAGGAAACCCTCAAGGTTATTGACAAGTTCATGTACCTACACAGCATACTTTCTCGACCTGCCATCATCAACAAAGACGCCAATTCATGCAGTGCCAAGGTAAGATCTGCTTTCAAATGACTTTGTGAAAGTGTTTGGGAAAAGAGAGGCATCCAATTGACAATGACACTAAATGTGTACAGGGCAGTCGTACTGTCCTCACTACTGTGTACCTGTGAGACATGGACAGTCTATAAACATCATGCCAAAAACTTAACTGCTTACACCTGAGCTGCCTCAGAGAACTGTTGAAGTTCACCAAGCATGACAAAGTCCCTGACTCTGGGGTCCTCTTTATAGCTGGCTTGCTAAGCATTCATGCTCTGTTCAAAGAGCCCACATTAGGAGGGCTGGCCATCTCATAGTGATGTTGAAATCTGGGTGATTCTGGCATTTGACTGACTGGGCACCTTGTTCTTTTGAGCAGAACAAAATAGCAGAGGCTCACAGGAAACCTGAGGTACACAAGTCTAAAGTAATCTCCTTGCCACCTACCCAAGAAATTCACCAGTGTCCTGAATTCAGCAGAGCTTTATGAGTGCTTATTGGATTATTTGATCAGTCTTATCATTATTATGGTATGGTATTGTAGAACAACCAGTCACAAGGAACATTCACAGAGCTGCATAAATTCTGAATTAGTGCGAGCTGTATCCTGTGGTACATGTAGAAAAGAACATGAGGACATTCACATCATTGATCTACTTCAAGGTTGTGTTGCATTTACAAGAGGTTACCTCAGTTGTGAGGTGTTTCACCCTCCCACAATGTCATATTTGTACGATGAAAAAGTACAGAGAAAATACTGGTTGCTTTTTTAACATGGCAGAATTAACCATGACAAGATGGAATTTGGTTCCAAACACGTGGGTTAAACATGTTCATAATAGTGAGTTTGGTAAGAGTGGGTTAAACATGTTCATAATACTGAGTTTTTCATGTGAAAATTCTTACCTTTGTCCCCCTAAAATGCAATGAAGTTAATGTTCTAAATCTTTCTTGCCCTGCTGTATCCCTGAATTGTGGAGAAAAACAGAACTAATAAAATTATCAAAGTTTGCTCGGAAAGAACACATAAAATTATGGTTACAACAATCAGTTGTTAACAATATGCTCTGGTTTCATTGTAAGAAAACATATGCAAGCTACCTCAAGAGAAATTAAGAAATAGTCAGAATAGTTTCTTTGATTTCCTAATCTTCAGAATCTTCTAACTTCAAAATTTTTTGTGTACTACATAAACAATCAAGTCCGGCTTACAAAACCTCTCTGTGATCTCCAAGAAGTTCAAAGTGGTTGTGGAGCGGAAATTCCTAGTTAAAATTGTTATGAAGGGTTGGGGAAGGTGTTTAAAATTTTCAATCCATTTGACATTAAATTTTGTGATGCTTTATTTTGCATAATTATTATGTCAAGGAATCTGGAAAATAAACTAGCCTAAATTTTTCCAAATGTACCATTTTTTTTTTTTTACCTACAACACATCTTTATAATAACGTGGCCGTCTTCTACTACTGACATAGAAGGACGGAGTTAACCATCCTCGAAACCTCAGCAATAGCCAAAGGGTAATAAATTTCTCAGTATTTGCAATAACCTAACACAGCAGAGATGTACCTACCATATCTGTAATCGGACCCGCACTCCATCCACAGTGGTTATGACATTGGCAAAATCAATCCCTGAAAATACTTTTTGTTTAGTTTTAGTTTTTAGCTAAGAGTGTGACAGTTTATTCAAGTTTTCCTTAACAAAAAGTAACTGTTTAAAACTATGTAAGTAAAAGTTCTTTGGCCTTCCATTGTATGGTTCAATTTTTTTCTTATTTGAGCCTAACCTCCTATCAATAGTCAGATATGTTTTGGGTTAATGGAACCAGCTTATGTTGGTTTAGGCTATCATGACTAAATAAAGTTAATCCTATCTTCTTATCTTATATGTACGTTTCTTTCTTGATTATGACTAGGAAACAAAGAAAGTTCTGAATCAAGATTGCATGGTATTAGTTTAACCTGAGAACATATATTTTGCCTACAACAATATTCTTGGGACCAGGCACAGGTGCACACTTTTAAATGAAGGGAGTCCCCTAATGATAAGTAATATTATTAAATATCAAGCGCTACAAGGAGCCAAGATAAAAGGTTTGATTTACTGTTAACTTTTGAGGTACACTGTCTATAATGACAGAACTACACTGGCACAACCATTTAAAGTACATTCTTCAAGAGTTGCACTGGATTTTTGTCTGGATTTGTTTTATTGTATGCTCAAATGAACTTGAAAATGGCATCTGTGACTGCTTACAAGAGTTTTCTGCTCATGAAAGATTAAAAATGCAGTGTTTTTGGTAAAATTGATAGGCCGCAGTGAGATGTCTCTTATAGAAGGTGTCTGCTTATGGAAAGTTTTCATCAATAGGGTATCATAAAAGCTGTGCAAAACAAGTCAAAATAGCCCCCTTTCTTTTCTCTAGCCACACTAACATAAAAAGTTAAATGAACAGTCCTTAACAGAAGATGGAGAGATTTTGACCTCTTAGGAGATTAGATGCATAAGGAGAGAATACACACTGTATATGGCTCTATAGTGTCTGGACATGTTAATGTTGGGGAAATTTTCACACTTGAGGAAGGATAACAAGAAAATGCACAGCTTGGCAACACTGTACCTGCTTATACAGAAAGGGGCCAATCCCAGCTGGGTCACTGACTCTTTTCACTGGAAACTTGGGCAGGAAAATCTACCAGTACATGTATGTTATTCATATCAATATTATACATTGCACTTACTATCTGTTTTCTCATTGGCTAAGAGTCTACAGTTGATTTCGGAGATAGCACAACCTAAGATAAGTTTGTTATGATCCTTATCTGCTAGCAGATGACTGACTAATCTGTAGTTTGCATGCACGTGCAAAATATAAAAATGCACGATTTCCAAAACCATTGTCAATTCAGTTCCTTGTTACAATGTGTTTGTTGTTATTTTCTTAAACAAAGGAATCGGTTTCTGTGATATCCTTAATAATCAAAATCTTGGTAAATGGTTTCTGCCTTGGCCTTTGGCTGGGCTGATAACACTTACCCCAACCTTGATTATTCTGGATATCACAAAAACGTTATCCAATAATTGTTTATTATTATACATTGTAGTCACCATCTGTCTTCTCATTGGCTAAAAGCCTACAGTTAATTCTGGGAAACAGCACAACCTACAGATTATTCACTAATCTGTACCTACAGACTAGTGAATAATCTGTAGGTTGCGTGCGCAATGCATGTTTTCCAAGAGCAATATCAAGTGCACCGACAGCAATATCAAGTTCGTGGACAGCAAAGTAAGAATGGCTTCTTGATTTGCTTCAGCAAGAAATTGAGAAATTACTTGAAGATAAAAGTCTCAGTTAGTGTTATCAGCCTCAGCCTTCCGCTTCGGCTGATAACACTTACCTCGACCTTGATTATTCCGGATATCACAAAAACCTCATCCAATAATTGTTTAATAATCTTCACCTTTCAAAACCTGTTGCTGAGAAGGTATCATTTAATGCAGCACATTTTTGTCACAGGTACAGGATGCAAATACATGTATTTTACGGTTCCTGGTTTTATAAGAAGTCACAAGAAACCTTTCACTTACCAACAGTAGACAAAAGGGATGGAGTAAAAGCTTCATTTGGTTTAGAATAACTTTTGATCAGGGAGGTCTTGCCAACACCAGATTCTCCAATGAGCAGGACTTTGTAAGAGATGTCATAGTCTTTGGAACGTGATGACATGACTCTGTTTGCCGCACAAATCTATGTGTCATTGACTGGCTAAAACAGCAGCCACATAAAACCTCATAATATTTCTGAGTTGAACCCAAAAACCTGAAAAGCAGTATGATGAAATAATGAGTTCAATAGTTATTATTATGCCTTGGGCCCGGTTTAGATGGCGAACTTTTCATGAGCCGAACCTAATTCGAATTAAGGCCAACCCAGATTATTTGGACCAGCTGAATTGATTCAGACGCCGATCTTAATTGCAACTGAACCAAGTTCAAAAGGTGAAAAATGCTCATTTCATTCAATTTGCTTACAAAATAATTGTTACAATAATTTATGCATTAGGTTTGGTACATGAAAAGTTCAGCATCTGAATCAAAGCCATTCTAAAGCCGCTCTAAAGGCTAAATTCCCAGCGTGGCTAGGCAAAAAGAACGCTGAGCTGTTTGAACCAGGCGTTGGGCATCTGAATCAATTATTGATTCAGACACTGAACTTTTCATGTACTTAATTCAATGTATTAGGTTCAGCTCATGAAAAATTCCTGTAAAAAAATTCTTAACAATACCTCCTCTCCAAAAGTTTGTGGGGAGCAGTGTAAAACTGGCTGTGATAGCAGACTATTATTTTGTCAGAGCGAGCCGCCATCAGGCCGTGATCAAAGCGAGTTTATAATTTTGTTGTGAGTGAGGATCACAAGCAGAGTGTGATTTCATTTTGGTCATAAATCTTTCTTTCTATCAGTTTGGTATCCGCAGTTGCCTAGCAACAAACCATAAACAAACTATAAAAGATGCCATTCAGCATGACGTCATCGTGCATTTTAGGTTTCCAAGCAACACAACTGGTAAGCCACCAACTAGGGCTAATTTTATTCATCCTCTAGCTGTTTACGTACGGTACAGCTGTAAGTTGGCGAATCGCAAAGTATTTCTGAGGCAAACAACAGCGGGCTGCAAACACAGTGCCTGATTCGACAAGTGGCTGGAAATTCTTGCTGTGGAAGATACCAAAAGAATGGCAACCTGAACTTCAGCGAGAGCAGTGATGATGAGTGCATTCATTGAGTGGCTGTTATAAAGCCCCAGAGTGAATAAACATGGAAATATTATGCAAAATGAGTATTTGCAATAACCTAACACAACAGAGATGTACCTACCATATCTGTAATCGGACCCGCACTCCATCCACAATGGTTATGACATTGGCAAAATCAATCCCTGAAAATACTTTTTGTTTAGTTTTAGTTTTAGTTTTTAGCTAAGAGTGTGACAGTTTATTCAAGTTTTCCTTAACAAAAAGTAACTGTTTACAACTATGTAAGTAAAAGCTCTTTGGCCTTCCATTGAATGGTTCAATTTTTTTCTTATTTGAACCTAACCTCCTATCAATAGTCAGATATGTTTTGGGTTAATGGAACCAGCTTATGTTGGTTTAGGCTAGCATGACTAAATAAAGCTAATCCTATCTTCTTATCTTATATACTTATCTTAGTTTCTTTTGTCTCCTATGAATGATTATGACTAGGAAACAAAGAAAGTTCTGAATCAAGATTGCGTGGTATTTAACCTGAGAACATTTATTTTGCCTACAACAGATATTCTTGGGACCAGGCACAGGTGCACACTTTTAAATGAAGGGAGTCCCCTAATGATAAGTAATGTTATTAAATATCAAGCACTACGAGGAGACAAGATAAAAGGTCTGATTTACTGTTAACTTTTGAGGTACACTGTCTATAATGACAGAACTACACTGGCACAACCATTTAAAGTACATCCTTCAAGAGTTGCACTGGATTTTTGTCTGGATTTGTTTTATTGTATGCTCAAATGAACTTGAAAATGGCATCTGTGACTGCTTACAAGAGTTTTCTGCTCATGAAAGATTAAAAATGCAGTGTTCTTGGTAAAATTGATAGGCCGCAGTAAGATGTCTCTTATAGAAGGTGTCTGCTTATGGAAAGTTTTCATCAATAGGGTATCATAAAACCTGTGCAAAACAAGCAAAATAGCCCCCTTTCTTTTCTCTAGCCACACTAACATAAAAAGTTAGAAGAACAGTCCTAAACAGAAGATGGAGAGATTTTGACCTCTTAGGAGATTAGATGCATTAGGAGAGTATACACTCTGTATATGGCTCTATAGTGTCTGGACATGTTAATGTTGGGGAAATTTTCACACTTGAAGAAGGATAACAAGAAAATGCACAGCTTGGCAACACTGTACCTGCTTATAACAGAAAGGGGGCCAATCCCAGCTGGGTCACTGACTCTTTTCACTGGAAACTTGGGCAGGAAAATCTACCGGTACATGTATGTTATTCATATCAATATTATAAATTGCACTTACTATCTGTTTTCTCATTGGCTAAGAGTCTACAGTTGATTTTGGAGATAGCACAACCTAAGATAAGTTTGTTATGATCCTTATCTGCTAGCAGATGACTGACTAATCTGTAGTTTGCATGCATGTGCAAAATATAATAATGCACGATTTTCAAAACCATTGTCAATTCAGTTCCTTGTGACAATGTGTTTGTTGTTATTTTCTCATTTCAAAGAAATCGGTTTCTGTGATATCCTTAATAATCAAAATCTTGGTAAATGGTTTCTGCCTTGGCCTTTGGCTGGGCTGATAACACTTACCCCAACCTTGATTATTCTGGATATCACAAAAACATTATCCAATAATTGTTTATAATCTTCACCTTTCAAAACCTGTTGCTGAGAAGGTATCATTTAATGCAGCACATTTTTGTCACAGGTACAGGATGCAAATACACGTACTTTACGGTTCCTGGTTTTATAAGGAGTCAGAAGAAACCTTGCACTTACCAACAGTAGACAAAAGGGATGGAGTAAAAGTTTCATTTGGTTTAGAATAACTTTTGATCAGGGAGGTTTTGCCAACACCAGATTCTCCAATGAGCAGCACTTTGTAAGAGATGTCATAGTCTTTGGAACGTGATGACATGACCCTGTTTGCCGCACAAACCTATGTGTCATTGACTGGCTAAAAAAGCAGCCACATAAAACCTCATAATATTTCTGAGTTGAACCCAAAAACCTGAAAAGCAGTATGATTAAATAATGAGTTCAATTATTATGCATTAGGCCCGGTTTAGATGCCAAACTTTTCATGAGCCGAACCTAATTTGAATTAAGGCCAACCCAGATTATTTGGACCAGCTGAATTGATTCAGACGCCGATCTTAATTGCAGCTGAACCAAGTTCAAAAGGTGAAAAATGCTCATTTCATTCAATTTGCTTACAAAATAATTGTTACAATAATTTATGCATTAGGTTTGGTACATGAAAAGTTCAGCATCTGAATCAAAGCCGTTCCAAAGCCGCTCTAAAGGCAAAATTTCCGGCTGGGCTATATCTAGGCAAAAAGAACGCTGAGCTGTTTTAACCAGGTGTTCGGCATCTGAATCAATAATTATTATTGATTCAGACGCTGAACTTTTCATGTACTTAATTCAATGTATTAGGTTCAGCTCATGAAAAGTTCGGCATCTGAACTGGGCCTTAATTCAAAAAATTATTTTTTAGGAATTCCTGTAAAAAAATTCTTAATAATACCTCCTCTCCAAAAGTTTGTGGGAAGCAGTGTAAAACTGGCTGTGATAGCAGACTATTATTCTCTCAGAGTGAGCGGCCGTTACGCCGTGAGCAAAGCGAGTTTATAATTTTGTTGTGTGTGAGGATCACAAGCAAAGTGTGATTTCATTTTGGTCATAAATCTTTCTTTCTATCAATTTGGTATCCGCAGTTGCCTAGCAACAAACCATAAACAAACTATAAAAGACGCCATTCAGCATGATGTCATCGTGCATTTTGGGTTTCCAAGCAACACAACTGGTTAGCCACCAACTAGGGCTAATTTTATTCATCCCCTAGCCGTTTACGTACTGTACAGATGTAAGTTGGCGAATCGCAAAGTATTTCTGAGGCAAACAACAGCGGGTTGCAAACACAGTGCCTGATTCGACAAGTGGCTGGAAATCCTTGCTGTGGAAGATACCAAAAGAATGGCAACCTGAACTTCAGCGAGAGCAGTGATGACGAGTGCATTCATTCACAAGAAAAAATAACGGATTCCCATTTTTGGATATTTTTGGGTATTTAAAGAATACCCTCAAAAATCCCAAATTTGGAAGAGTGAGAAGAGTCCCAATCTGGGAACTTGGTTGGGAATTCCCTGGTTGGGACTTGTCTCACTTTGCCAAATTTGGGATTTTTATGGGTATTCTTTAAATACCCAAAAATATCCAAAAATGGGAATCCGTTATTTTTTCCTGTATATTGAGTGGCTGTTATAAAGCCCCAGAGTGAATAAACATGGAAATATTATGCAAAATGACTTTGAAATATTTGTTAAGCTATTTTTCCTCAATTGTATCTTTGAATTCATGATAAATACGGTGCCACAAGATTCAAACAGTGTGAATGGCAGAGGATAGTAATTTCATAGCAGCCGCATGGCCAAGTGGTCTGAGGCCTCACTTTTTCCGCTGGAAGAAGTTGGGCCGGGGTGAAGGTTCAAATCCCGACAGTGGAATTAGCAGGGGTTTTTTTCGCTTTTTTTTTCTTTCATCGCATTTTTACCCTTTGGTTTGTTTCCATCTTTTCCTACTGCTGACCCTTTTTAGCTTCGCGAGATTTTTGCAATAACGTATTTCTAGTATTAATTTATAACGACAGAACTTAACATCTTCAGCATCTGTAAATTGTGTTACATCATATATCACAACATTCAAAGCAGTTACGAAGAAAGGATAGATTAGATGGTCAGTAAACTAAATTACCTGATTTGTCATTGGCCTGAAATTGACCAAGAGAAACTTCTTGCAAGGTTAATAAGCGTGTAAACCGAGCTGCAAACTTATTAAAGGAAAATAGAGTTCATTGGCAGATTAAAACACTTCGCCTTTTGCTGCTTTTAACAGTGACTTGTCATTTGCATGTTCGATTCCCTTTTGTAAGCCTACAACTTGACCAACTGTTTTTGCAACAAAGGTTTCTGTTTCTAACAGCTATGAGTATTTATAGCTATTTACAGTGCGTAAGCTGTTCACGTGCAACTCAGGTGTCGTGATACACCCGGTGATACAGAAGTGAGGACTAAACAGCTAAAACAGCCTGGCGACAGACCAGAGAAAAATAATCAGGAAACTTGGTGGCTGGTAACAATACACCTGGTAAATAGAAAAAAAAAAAGAATAAAAAAAAGCGAAATGGCAACTCACTGACAGTACCGCCGCTGCCTTGCCTCGTTGAACGTTGAAGCTGGACCTGACTGTAGACAGCACTTCCTCTTCATTTATGACTATTTGTTGTTTCCTGGAAGCCTTTTTCCTTCCCACAATTCAACTGTACTAGTTCCGGGAATTCGCAAGATTGAAAGAAAAGGAACTGAACATTGCTGGAGGCTGTCGAAATCTGCGATTTCTCTGGCAAACTTAAGAACATGCCACCCCCAGACTGTACTGCAAAAGTTGTAATGATTGGAGACAGTGGAGTTGGAAAATCCAAGATCCTTTCAAGTTATAATGGAGAAAGGTTCAATCCCACCTACATGCAAACACGAGGTGACTTTCGGAAAAATCAGCGAGCTCATAATCACGTTTGCGTAGTAATGTTAGAAGAGCTACATGTAACCATGGCCATTTGATGTTTCTTTTTGACAGAGAGACAAATCAGAACGTCAAGAGTGCAAGTTGGACGTCGATCTGTAGAACTGCAAATATGGTAATTAAGGAGAAGTAAGATTGCATAGTAAATTATTATGGTATGAACAACGTCGACAGAAATACTTCCGGAAGTCTCCAAGTTTACCAAATATTTCTTGATTGAACTTTTGACGCCACTGATCTGTTTTGTCCCAAACTGATCGGGCCAATAAAGTTTTGTTGTTTTATCAGTCTGGGTTTGCACCAGTGCAGGCTTCTCGCTTTGTAGCCATACTTCAAGAGGTTTTTATAATCATCGTTTGTTTTAAAACAGTTACATCTTTTGTCTACACTGTGATAGATAGCTCAACTTTTTGGTGGGGGCGGGGAGTGGGGCTGGAGTGTTTCAGGTGTTGCTGGGGTTGTAGCTCTCTTGCCTCTATACTTGGAGGCAAAATTGTGAGACTGTGAGTTGTTGGCCTAAACCGTAAGAGTTGGAAGGTCTAGATATTCATTCAGGAGAAATTACTATTTTACACTGGAATTACTATTTTACCTTGTAGCAGAACTGGAATTGATATCCTGTTTTCACAAACATGATTTTCAAATCTTTAATGGGGAGGGGGTGCGGGGTGGTCGTCAGAATCTGAATTTTGCTAAAATTTGGCTAAACGTCAGAATCATTTCTTCCTCGTTATTGGGTGGGAATGGGTGCATGTTTCAAGGCAGAGGGTACTTTTGCATGCCAGTATTTATTGCGGAGAGGTACTAGTCTCTACTCACAGAATGGTAATATTTCCTAACCATTAGGGATACACCTGGCAATCCCCTTTGTAGAACAATAACAGCAGCATACATGCGGGAGAATGTTCAGGTAATGAATCATTTTGTATTACCAGTATTTTAAAGCTCATGTTAGTCCCCAAAACATCAACTGCATGTTCCAGCCATACAGTGAAACCCCTAATGTACACTGTAACCATGTGAAGACTTGAATTACTATAAGATGCATTATATTGGGTTCCGGTTCCATTCATCCAAGAGTAGTCAATTGATGAAAAAAAATTGGTATTAATAAGAAATGTAGCAATCAAGAGATTTTTGATTGATAACAGAAATAAGTGAAAATTGATAAACTTAATTGCTGTGTCAAATCGATATTATCAATTTTTCATGAAACAAGAAAATGTGGAAACTATTACACATACAAGTTTCTCTCTAAAACCCTTTATTTTGTACATAAATCACAATCAGTTCTCACCTTAGAAGATTTCGTAGCCTGAATTTTAGACATCTCTTCGAGTCGAAAGGATGGTTATCAATCTATGAAACATTTAATACTTGGTTGCTACTAATTTTTGTGTATACCCATTTTAATCTATTGATTACCTTGAGATGTAACTACACCCAAAACTGCACCAACGTTACTAGTCTCACTTGCATAAGCAGCGAGACTTATAATCTGCAGGTCATTTCTTTTTCTTCGTATTTAGTACTAAAAGTGACGGTTGTGGTCCCAGGTTTCCTAGCAGCGACTGTGGAAACTGGGAATAAGAATCGTGACGACTTTCATGGTATGCAAATGTGACTGGTGATGCATGAGCATGTGGTTAATTTTCAGTGATGATTGAGGTGATGCACGTAGTTGATCATGTTCTAGTATGGATTTTTGGCAGTGATGTAATTTTCCTTGAATCACCCTTGATTTTTGTGTATTCATACACACGTAGTCGGACGTGAAAATATTATAGCAGAGGAAATCCTGTTTCATGCTGTATTGAGGCATAACGTTTCTCACAATATAGACACAATTACTTGAACTCTACGACTAGATAGATTCGACATTGCAGATTCGCTTTGTTGTATGTATTTAATTGATAGATTTTCTCAGTTTTTAAGATGTGAAGTTGCATTGCACTTTATAAATACTTGAGATATCAATGATTTTTAACCTTCAACTTCTAGACGCAACTTCGACTACTCGTCTGATGTTACGTATGTGTTATAGATGTGTTTATAAGTGTAGAATTGTACTTGACTGTCACGCACTTTGCTACAACACTTCATCGGCCAATGGAAACTAGCTAGTCTACAAATTGAACTATATAGTCTATTTGTTTTCCAAGTTCTCTAGTATGGAAAATGTGTGTTTGTTTTTCATACTGATGTCTTCATTGATGTTTCCTTGATGTCGTACAGAGCTTGCAAGGTCTCGATCTTTGCCTCATCTGTCGGATTGCCTTTGATTATGGAAGATTGTTGAAATTACAGCAGTACTGCCTGGACATCATTGGAAATTTTCGCTTTAGATTTATAAACTGTAATGATTGAACTATAATCTTTTCCCGGTTTTTATTTTAGTCTGACTATTGTACATGTTTGTACCATAAGGCAGTCAGTAGTTACTGTAACCTATGCCTAGCTGCACACTCAGGCTCCTGAAGAATTTATTTCCTCCTCATTTCTTATCTAATCTCCAAGCAACCTTGAGTGAACACTTTAAGACTGTCTTGTTTCTTATCTAATCTTCAAGCAAGTGAGACTTCCTTTTTAGAGCGTTCTTGTTTTGAAAGGGTGGTAGGTCTAAATCTTAAATCTTAGATCTGATACTAAATTTCTTTGTATTATTTTAATCTTTAGGGAGTGATAATTGTGTTTGATGTTACCAAGGATGAAAGTTATTATAATGTACAACATTGGCTTAAAACTGTAAATCAGGTAAGAGTTGACAGATGAGTAATATTAAAATAATACCATCCAAAAGTTATTGTCTAAAATGTTAGCCGTCTCATCCCCTTAACCCAGGGGGCTGGGGGGGGGGGGTGGCCCAGGGGAGAGAGTCATCTGAAACTTGAGCATTATAATGCTGTCGGTTGACATCATCTGCATTTGTGAATTTATGGTAGGTTCTGATTGGCTATTATATTTCTGAGGTAGAAAACCTTATTTATTTATTTATTTAATTTATTATTATTATTATTATTATTATTATTATTATTATCATAAACAATATTTATTGCAACATTTGCTCTAAGAGCCTGAAGGGCTCATCTTGAGAGTTTAATTATGTTGTTGACATTCAATATTTTAAAAATACAAATGCATGTGCAAGATCAAACACGCACACTCATAAAAAAGCAAAAGAATAAAAGAAAAACAAAACAAAACAAAAAATAAAATAAATAGATATAAAAAAACACACACAGCAACTAACAGGAACGATTTAATGGCAAAATAAACGACTGGGCAAGCTGAAACAACCTAACGTTAATTTGAAAATCAGCAGCAGAAATGCTATTTAATAGCCAAGTGATTTTTTTCTTATCTGAAGCACAATGCCATCTATATCCAAGTAATTGTGCAACAGAGGTAAACAACTTTTCACGCATGAGAGCAGCAAAACTTGGGCAGTATAGGAAATAATGTTTCACATCTTCAGTAGATGAATCGCAAAGAGCACAGGCAGATGAAGGACAGCAATTTTTCTGAAAAAGGTGATAATTTAAGGCACTAAAATTAAGTCTCAAACAAGTGTGAAAAATTGATGCTGAACGATCCCCAATATATTAAAAAAAGATAGATGCGGGATGGAAAATGCAGGAATTTTTAAGAGGTTGTGCTTGAAGATACCTTGAGAAGACAATTGTGTCTCTTATGGAAGACTGTTCCACTCTTGAATTGATGAAAAGAGAAAAGATTTTTTGTGCCTTTCAGTACAAACGAAGGGTAAGCAGAGATTATTGGCAGAACGGAGACTATAACTAGATCTTGCAGAAGCAAAATTAGGACATAAATCGCATTAAGGTGGGGCTAGCTTAAATTATATACTATTTTGTACATCAAACTGAGTTTATGAATTTTTCTTCTAACACTAATTTCGACCCAAGATAAGTTTATTTTATAGGTATCCTGTTTGTCCCTTTTAAAGCACTGGTTACAACTGTTGCGCCCTCTATTTGTAAGCTTTCTAAAAAATATATATACCATCAGATTCAGAACATCAATCCCAAACCACATCAGCATATTCTAAGGATGAACACACCAAGGATTTGAATAAAACTTCAAGTGTATGATGGCTCAATTGTATTTCAATGGCTTTAGGAGGTTTAATTTTTTGGAAGCTTTCTGATGAGTTTTTAATATATGTGCTCGCCAAGATAAGTTAGAAGACAAAGTTAAACTAAGATGTTCTTAAACTGTCACATCCTCAATAATACTATTGTTCAAAACCAAAGGGGGTGCAAATTAAAGGCTTGTCTCTTTTTGCCAAGTCTTAGATTCATTCATAGTCACCAACCACCGTTTAGCCCAATCGGATATTAATTTTAATGTCAAGTCATGATTAGAAGCACAATCACTAAGAGACTGAACTTTTTCCAGCAAAAAACGATCATCAGCAAATAAAAAAACACAGCAAGAAGAGATCGTGACTGGTAGGTCATTAATGTAAATGAAAAACAATAATGGACCTAAGACCGATCCCTGGGAGACACCAGCCTTGATATTACGCCAACCGGAATGCACTCCTTCGATTATCTCTCTTTGTTTACAACAAGAAAGGTAACTAACAAATTTCCCTCAACTCCAATGCTTCTTAACTTGGCTATCAGACTGTGATACCACACGTTCATGCTTTCAAACAGCTTTACAGATCTGACCAGTCATTCATGGTATGTTGCGAGGTCAACAGATGTCGGGTATGAAAGACTCAACTGTACTTAACAATATAGAAAAAAAATCTTTGATAAATGACAACAATATCAAAGAGTGAAGCATCAAAAACATCATTCCAGTCTGCGTTTGATAAAGTGCCATTTAATCCATCGAGATCAATATCATCAAAATTCTGGATCTCTCTGGTAAAAGATTTGGGCTTTTGTTTGCGAAAATTTAAATTTGCATAGATAATACAGTGATAACAGTTGGCTGTCGGGCTTAGAGTACCAGAAGAAACAAAAAAGCCAGGCGAGTCTGATATGATAAGGTCAAGAATGGACTTCCCAGACCGAGTAAAGACCTCAAAAAAGGCCTTTCCTCATTTGCTGATTGATTGGTTGGACGATAACAAACTTCGCAAAGAAAAACAAAATTATTGACACTGCATTGAAGCTATTTAGAGGAGTTCTAGCCCAGCAGAGTATTCAAACTCAACACGTCTTTTAACTGTAATGTGATCTTTGGCATAAATTACCACACCTCCTCCGAGCTTCCTGACCCTATCTTCCTCGAGGGTAAACTATAACCAGGAATGAGAATATAGAGTCATTAGATAGGCTAGAATTCAACCAGGTTTCAGAAAGTGCAAAAACATCAAATCCATACAAACAAGCCAAAACAGAATTTTCAGTCAGCTTATCATTAACATTAAATGAGCGATTGAAAAGTTGATACTGTTGGCCCCAGGATTAGGATGAACTGAACCTGATGCCAATAATAGAATACTAAGGCTCAACATTTAAACCAAAAGAATAACAAGGAAAGGAATAAAATTGGGAGCAAAATAACAATGCGACACAAGTAAACTTAAAACGATTAAAAAGCCCAATTGCTGCCCTGTACTGATCTAGACTAACCTCCATCAATAAAAATAATGCATTTTAAAGAGCTTACCTCCCACTGCACAAAACATATAGCAACCAAAGGACTGAGTACATATACTATACGTAATAAACATTGTACATTGAAACCTGTATTAAGCGGACACCCTCTATTAAGCGGATAGAAGCCGAAGTCCCCAAATTTATTTTCCTTATTTACTTTAAATGAAACCTTTATTAAGCGGAAACCTCTATTAAGCGTACTCAGACACCTACATGTAAAAGTACCTGAAATGGTCATTTCTAAATTGTTGCCAACCTGTATTAAACGGACACTTGTAATTGAATTCCACCACCCAACTTGCCAGACACCAGAAATGGGAAAGATTGCCACCCACAAATGAAAGGGAATTTGAAACGCACTTCTGGCAATTCATTGAGTTCACTGGGTGCCCAGAACAAGGATATTGACATTGCCTCACAAGCGTTATTACTGGTAACTGAGGTTAAATAATGTCTGTGACGCATGCAGGCTACATGGTCTAGGCGAAAGGAAAAGAGGCAAAAGCTCTATTGTTCAAGCTATTTCTCATCCTCGGAGACCCAGGGGCAGATAGTGGGGACGAGGGAAAGTCTAAACGGCTGAAAAGATGTGGCACGAAGAAAAGTAAAGAATGGCGAGAAGAGCCCCTGGGGACAATGTCTTACCAGACCAGTTCCAAACGGTCGCCGCCGTTCTGGCTTCTGATTGGTACTAGAAAACTTGTTGTTTTTCTGGCACCAATCAGAAGCCAGAACGGCGGCGACTGTTTGGAACTGGTCTGGTAAGACATTGTCCCCAGGGGCTCTTCTTGCCGTTCTTTACTTTTCTTCGTGCCACATTTTTCCGCCCGTTTAGACTTTCCCTCGCCCCCTTTATCTGCCCCTGGGTCTCTGAGGATGGCTATTTCTAAGGTCACATTTCACACTATCACGAGCTTATGATTGAGTTGTGTTTAAACCTGTTTCAAACTGGAAAAGTTGAATGATCCTGTACACTAATTCTGAAGTCTTTTCCATCAAGTTTTACAGCACACAAAACACAGAACACCTCACACATATACATGCTGCTGTTCATGGTTCCATCCATGACTCGTGGCTGCCATCTTGCTAAGAAATCAAAATTTATGCTAAAATGCATAAATTATAAGTAGCTAACGTCACTGGGCAACATAATATGATTCTTGGAATTCAGGTGACTCTCTTTCCTGTGCCCCCCATGGGTTAGGGGTGGAGACACCTGACATATCTGTCTACAAAAACTTATCATGATTTCATTTTGATCTGGCTTGGACTACAGATGGTGTATTGGCTAACTACAATGTGCATGAATATTTTTTTTGAAGTCAGTCATTACTAAGCATATGAACAACTGTTAACCTTTAAAATGTTGCATGTAAAAGTTAGAGTACATAAAACTTTTTTTTTTTTTGCCTCTAAACTATGAATCATGACTCACTTTTGTTCTCATAGTACGCAATAAGAACAAGCAAGTATAGAACCCCTTTGTTTCAATTGACTATTGAAAAACAATTCACTCCTTTGTACAAACAGGAGTTAACCTGCTGAACAGGTGCTATTTCTTCATTTTTTTTTTCANTGAGGTGACGAAGTACCACCCTTCTAAAATCGTGCAATAAATCTGTTTGGCAGAAAATCGTCTTCCTTGGAGACCTGAGTACACATCGTTTCTGGTTTTCAACGTTCAGTCTTCTAAACCAACAATATTTACTGGTATTAAAAATCGAATCTTTATTTCTGTCGACTTATTCCGCGACTTATTTTTCGCACCTACATAACATTTGTACGGCCTTCTAATTTCGAATCGTGGAAATCCGGCAATGCTAAACTCTAGCTGAACCTAGCTGATTTTTGGATAGTAATAAAGACGCTTCTTTCGACGACATTTTAGAAAAGGTCCCTTAGAGGTACCGGGAAACTTAAAAGACAGCCGTTTTGGATTTTATCACCCTCTCTCACTTTAAAGAGTAATCCGTAACTTCCGTCGCCCTAACCAGGGACCAGGCTCCGCAGTTGGCAAATTAAAAAGGCGAAGAAAATCGGAGAGGGCGAAAGCCGAGCGGTAGTCTGAGGAGGGGATTGTCCCCATCTGCAGTCCACCACTCGATTAGCATCGCTCGCTGATTTTGCTGTTTCATCCCGTTTTTGCCTCTTCCCGCCACTACGGAGCCTGGTGCCAGGCTACCGTCTTCCTTTTAAGCTGGCTGGCAGGCTATTTAACAAGGGGAATCACTGCCTGCGGGCATATTATTTATTCAGGTTTTATAAGTTACATCACCTGACTCTTCTCCTTTCGTATGAACCTTATTTTCTATTAACTCCTTTTTCACAGATATTCCAAACAATGGCAGAATTAATATTGGGTGAAACTGGAGAACAGGTGAGAAATAGTGTATTTTTACTGTTTTGTTATCCTTTTTACGGGTAAATTCCAAAGAAATCTACGTGTTCTCTGTTAGTGTTGTCGAAGATGATTGTTGGGCCAGAAAATTTCTATTAAAATACCCGTAAACCGCCACTTATAAGCTCTTTGCTTATACATCTTTGCAAGGGGTTTTAAGAGGGCTTACAAAGGGAGAGGCTTACAACAGGAATAGAAAAAGGGCTTTGAAGTAAGCTATAACAGTACTGATCAAAATGTGGAGGCGTGTGTGGTTGAGTGGTTAACACCTCGAACTCTGGATGTGGAGGTCCGGGGTTCAAGCCTCGCCCGTCGCGTTGTTTCCTTAGGCAAGGAACTTTACTCCAGTGGCACTCTACATTTTTTTTTTTTTGCCTCTAAACTATGAATCATGACTCACTTTTGTTCTCATAGTACGCAATAAGAACAAGCAAGTATAGAACCCCTTTGTTTCAATTGACTATTGAAAAACAATTCACTCCTTTGTACAAACAGGAGTTAACCTGCTGAACAGGTGCTATTTCTTCATTTTTTTTTTCAGGCGGGCACGAGGCAGGCATGCATGTCCAGAGTGCAAGAAAACATGAGCACATGCAACAGATCACGGGAAGGCACCTCAATCCACTGTTGCTTGTGTCTTGCACTCCATGTCCGCCTGGTGCTTACCTGAAAAACTAGAAAAAAAAGTGCCTATTTTGCAGGCTGGTCCAGGATTTTTCATTTTTGTTGTCCACAAATCAGTAAGGACAGAAATAGATGATTAAATAATTTGAAAATTACGTGACATGTACTGGAATCCCAACTGGCCAGTAACAAAACATGGCACTTAACAAGCATGGCAATGGAGTTGAACTCTGGACTGGAAAGGAGAAATCCAGTGAACAGTCCTGTGGATTCTAGGCCTTCAGATTGCAAATCCAGCACTCTTAAACTACCCAGCCAGACCACCCGTATCTGTTCAAAATGTTCAGTAAAATAACAAAAAAAATTTGTTCAGTAAAATGGTGGAAAAATTGCCTCATAGCATTCGACAAATTGACTGAAATTATTTCATGATGACACGCAGCTGAGTTTCTTGTCTCTAGCGGATCATTGGTGATTACCAGTTAAAATAATCAATAATTCAATGATCTGTATTAGTATTCTGCCAGTTTTGAAAGTAAAACTCTTCCAATAATTTTTTTTAGTATGTTGCTGGAAGAGAGCATGAAAATTGCAAGTTTGTATTTGTTGGAAATAAAAATGATCTGGCTGAGAAGCTAGGCAGGAAAGTACTCATTGAATCTGGAGAGCAGGTATGTTTTCCAAAAGCCTAATTTTGTTCTATTTAGTAAGGCATAAGAGTGATATTCTGGTTTTGCTAAACCTTTTCTCTGTACAAGACATACACACGCATATTTTTTGAGGGGAGGGGGGTTGAGGGAATTGGAATACTTTGCTTATACTGCTCGTTATAGTGAAAGGATCGTGTTCAAAAGAAACACAATCTGATTTGCAGATTGGCTGTTGAGGTCTACTGAAAGGGATAAAAACATTTATTAATGCAATGCAGCCATCTTGAAGTCAAAACTTCTCACTTGGCCAATTACATACATGTATTAGGTCACGCACATCAGAAGTACCGGTATTGTTTTCCTGAATTTGTACATTGTTTGATTCAATTGTTGTAAAAATTCTGTATTTTTTTGGAAACTGAACTAGCCAGAGTCCGAGACGACTGCTTTTCTTAGTAAGTTAGTGGAAAAACGCTTTTTCTCCCTGCCTCTCTCAACCGACCTTGAAGTTGTTCTTCTTGGCCCTCTTTACCAGATTTCTCCTTCTCTTTGTTACGCCTTTAATTGCAGACTGTTAGATTCTCTTTAAAGCGTGACGAAATAAGACCATTGAGAAATATTTGAGATAGTTTGTTCATAGCTCAGTAAAGCTAGTTCCATAGCTTGCAACTTGTTTCAAGAAGAGGATGAGTCTAGGTGCAAAGTATTCCAGTACTTGAAAAAGAAGTGTAAATGATGTTGATTACATTATCCAGATCCATTTGATTACTTGTCTTAGTAACCTTTTTTCTACAGTTAGCGAAACAACATAGTGGAAGGTACGTTGATACAAGTGCGAAGACAAAAGAAAATATACAAAAGGTAAAAAAAAAAGGGGGGGTTGGAAATGAGTTTGACTGATACTTTAGACTGTATTACATTCGAACCTCAAAGTGCGACCACCTCCCATAAGCGATCACTAAGTCTTCGCGTTTTGGGTGGTCTCTTACGGGAGTTTCGACTGTTTTGGCGCACAATAGGTGCTCACAATATTTCGACTGTGATTTCTTTTTTAAAGCTCTAGCTATAGACATTTATCCACGCGGAAAGACGCTATTTTTTCTTTGTAAAGCAAAGGAAATAGAAAGCGTAGCACATATTTAGGCTACATTGGTTCTGGAGAATTTGGGTGGAACTTTTAGAATACACATGCATCAACTATCTTGACAACCGGAGACCATTGGGCTATCTTTTTTTCTTAAACACAGCGACAACAAGATGATGCAGTAAATTAAACGTCCTACAATTCTTTATTTTGTTGAACTTGAGGTGACGAAGTACCACCCTTCTAAAATCGTGCAATAAATCTGTTTGGCAGAAAATCGTCTTCCTTGGAGACCTGAGTACACATCGTTTCTGGTTTTCAACGTTCAGTCTTCTAAACCAACAATATTTACTGGTATTAAAAATCGAATCTTTATTTCTGTCGACTTATTCCGCGACTTATTTTTCGCACCTACATAACATTTGTACGGCCTTCTAATTTCGAATCGTGGAAATCCGGCAATGCTAAACTCTAGCTGAACCTAGCTGATTTTTGGATAGTAATAAAGACGCTTCTTTCGACGACATTTTAGAAAAGGTCCCTTAGAGGTACCGGGAAACTTAAAAGACAGCCGTTTTGGATTTTATCACCCTCTCTCACTTTAAAGAGAAATCCGTAACTTCCGTCGTCCTAACCAGGGACCAGGCTCCGCAGTTGGGAAATTAAAAAGGCGAAGAAAATCGGAGAGGGCGAAAGCCGAGCGGTAGTCTGAGGAGGGGATTGTCCCCTTCTGCAGTCCACCACTCGATTAGCATCGCTCGCTGATTTTGCTGTTTCATCCCGTTTTTGCCTCTTCCCCCCACTACGGAGCCTGGTGCCAGGCTACCGTCTTCCTTTTAAGCTGGCTGGCAGGCTATTTAACAAGGGGAATCACTGCCTGCGGGCATATTATTTATTCAGGTTTTATAAGTTACATCACCTAACTCTTCTCGTTTCGTATGAACCTTATTTTCTATTAACTCCTTTTTCACAGATATTCCAAACAATGGCAGAATTAATATTGGGTGAAAATGGAGAACAGGTGAGAAATAGTGTATTTTTACTGTTTTGTTATCCTTTTTACGGGTAAATTCCAAAGAAATCAACGTGTTCTCTGTTAGTGTTGTCGAAGATGATTGTTGGGCCAGAAAATTTATATTAAAATACCCGTAAACTGCCACTTATAAGCTCTTTGCTTATACATCTTTGTAAGGGGTTTTAAGAGGGCTTACAAAGGGAGAGGCTTATAACAGGAATAGAAAAAGGGCTTTGAAATAAGCTATAACAGTATTGATCAAAATGTGGAGGCGTGTGTGGTTGAGTGGTTAACACCTCGAACTCTGGATGTGGAGGTCCGGGGTTCAAGCCTCGCCCGTCGCGTTGTTTCCTTAGGCAAGGAACTTTACTCCAGTGGCACTCTACTTTGTCTCTCTTCACTCACTAGGTGCATAAATGGGTACCAGCAACATACTACTGAGGGGTACCCCTGCGATGGACTAACATCCCGTCCAGGGGGGAGTAGCAATACTCCTAGGTGGCTCATACTAAGAAAACCGGATACCGGATAAGTTATGCATTTACGGATACGTTATGCATTGACTGGTTTTTAATTAACTATTAAAACTTCATAATAAATGGAATTCACTTCAATACATTTTTAGATCACAATTAGAGGGGGGGCTTATAATCGGATGTATTTTTTTCTGTTTATGGGGTGCTTATTAAGTGGGGGGGTTGGGCGGCTTATAAGCGGTAGTTTACGGTATATACAGTCAACTCTTGCCTTGCGGACACCCGGCTATAACAGACACCCCGATAATACGGACAATAGCCAAATCCCAGCCAAAAATAAATTACAGACGTTTGACTGAAATAAACTCCCGCTATTACGGACTCTCGCTAATGAGGACACTAACTCAGGGTCCCCACAGTGTCCGCTATAAAAGGAGTTGACTGTATTCGGAAATCAAGTTAGTCGCTTCATATTCGTTGCACTCATTGACAGTAGATGAGCGTGTGGGAGGTGCCTGCGACAGGGAGCCGAGGCTGGTGGGTTTTAAAAGTGGACATGCTAGTTTAACAAAGGGCTCGTTGAGTAGGGAGCAGAGAAATTCGAGATCGAGTGTAACGTGTTGAGCAATGCAAGCGAAATAACCGTATTTCAACAAGGGCGCTGAAAAGTCCCCTGAAAAGGCCCGGCCTGCGAGGTTATGCAACCACTTCAAATGATTAACACGAAAGGCTGCTGAACTCTTGTTAAAAGTTACATGTTCATGTAACGGCCTTTAACCACGTCCCAACTTACAAGTTTTCCTTGCGGGAATGGCACCTGTTACTAGTAATTTCCTACGATTAAGGCATAGCGTAAACTACCACTCATAAGCCCTAGGCTTTTACATCTTCGTAGGGGGGTTTTAGGAGGGCTTATATCCGAGGGGGCTTATTACTGGAATAGTAAAATGAATAAATTTTCAAGAAGGCCTTGGAGTCGCCCCGTGCAAGGGAATATGGATTTCTGGAAGCGGGGGAATCCTTGCTTTTGGAATCGGGAATCCGGGAAATTTTTTTCTTGTGGAGTCCGGAATCGTGGGCTTTACTGAGAACCCGGAATACAGCTCAATGAATCTGAAACCCCACTAACGACTGGACTTGAACCCGGAATCCAAGTTCCACTGACAGAGAATCCGGAATCCACTGCGTGTAATCCAGAATCCAGGACTATCTTGGATTCCCTTATATCATATGGAATGCCTCGGAGCGAAGGAAACCTATATCTAAAAAAAGACGTCATCAGAGGCGTCATCCTTATGACAGACTTTTTAAAACTAAGGGGAATTTCAGCATGACCTGCTTACAGAGGAAGCGTCACTCGTCTTTTCCTCTCATCTTCGTCTTTTACACTTTGATGTTTTTGTGTTTTTATTTTACAGCCTAATACACCCGATGGAACTAACAAACTTGGTAACGTGGACGGTGAAAGACAAAAAGAAGGATTTTCATGTACTGTTTTATGATAAAACCCGTTTTATACATCTTAAATTCACCAATCCATTGTTTTGAACTGACTATTAATAATTATTTTCAGTGACCACAATAATGAACTGCTGGTTCCGAAACAATTAAAAAATGCATCAAAATCGGATAATGCCTACGCTCCTCAGCTATCTCAGTGAAAAATATCGACTTAGCAGTACGCGCTCGGTCATCGTGGTTAACAAGGCTTGAAGCTCAGGCAGTATCCTATATAAAAAAAACTATTAAAACTTCATAATAAATGGAATTCACTTCAATACATTTTTAGATCACAATTAGAGGGGGGGCTTATAATCGGATGTATTTTTTTCTGTTTATGGGGTGCTTATTAAGTGGGGGGGTTGGGCGGCTTATAAGCGGTAGTTTACGGTATATACAGTCAACTCTTGCCTTGCGGACACCCGGCTATAACAGACACCCCGACAATACGGACAGTAGCCAAATCCCAGCCAAAAATAAATTACAGACGTTTGACTGAAATAAACTCCCGCTATTACGGACTCTCGCTAATGAGGACACTAACTCAGGGTCCCCACAGTGTCCGCTATAAAAGGAGTTGACTGTATTCGGAAACCAAGTTAGTCGCTTCATATTCGTTGCACTCATTGACAGTAGATGAGCGTGTGGGAGGTGCCTGCGACAGGGAGCCGAAGCTGGTGGGTTTTAAAAGTGGACATGCTAGTTTAACAAAGGGCTCGTTGAGTAGGGAGCAGAGAAATTCGAGATCGAGTGTAACGTGTGAGCAATGCAAGCGAAATAACCGTATTTCAACAAGGGCGCTGAAAAGTCCCCTGAAAAGGCCCGGCCTGCGAGGCTATGCAACCACTTCAAATGATTAACACGAAAGGCTGCTGAACTCTTGTTAAAAGTTACATGTTCATGTAACGGCCTTTAACCACGTCCCAACTAACAAGTTTTCCTTGCGGGAATGGCACCTGTTACTAGTAATTTCCTACGATTAAGGCATACCGTAAACTACCTCTCCTAAGCCCTAGGCTTTTACATCTTCGTAGGGGGGTTTTAGGAGGGTTTATATCCGAGGGGGCTTATTACTGGAATAGTAAAATGAATAAATTTTCAAGAAGGCCTTGGAGTCGCCCCGTGCAAGGGAATATGGATTTCTGGAAGCGGTGGAATCCTTGCTTTTGGAATCGGGAATCCGGGAAATTTTTTTCTAGTGGAGTCCGGAATCGTGGGCTTTACTGAGAACCCGGAATACAGCTCAATGAATCTGGAACCCCACTAACGACTGGACTTGAACCCGGAATCCAAGTTCCGCTGACAGAGAATCCGGAATCCACTGCGTGTAATCCAGAATCCAGGACTATCTTGGATTCCCTTATATCGTATGGAATGCCTCGGAGCGAAGGAAACCTATATCTAAAAAAAGACGTCTTCAGAGGCGTCATCCTTATGACAGACTTTTTTAAAACTAAGGGGAATTTCAGCATGACCTGCTTACAGAGGAAGCGTTACTCGTCTTTTCCTCTCATCTTCGTCTTTTACACTTTGATGTTTTTGTGTTTTTATTTTACAGCCTAAAACTCCCGATGGAACTAATGAACGTGGTAACGTGGACGGTGAAAGACAAAAAGAAGGATTTTCATGTACTGTTTTATGATAAAACCCGTTTTATATATCTTAAATTCACCAATCCATTGTTTTGAACTGACTATGAATAATTATTTTCAGTGACCACAATAATGAACTGCTGGTTCCAAAACAATAAAAAAATGCATCAAAATCGGATAATGCCTACGCTCCTCAGCTATCTCAGTGAAAAATATCGACTTAGCAGTACGCGCTCGGTCATCGTGGTTAACAAGGCTTGAAGCTCAGGCAGTATCCTATATAAAAATAAAGATATTATGGATCAGTTTAGGTTTCTGGGAAACTGCCCACCTACCCCTCCCCTAAGCTAACATTACACTTACTTTTCACTTTGGGTAAAATGTGGCTTAGGGGAGGAGTAGCTGGGCAGTTTCCCGGAAATCTAAATTGATCCGATATTTTCAATGTTAAAACACAATAGATTAATTTATCCGATCCTCAAGTGAGGGCGAGTAAGGTACCCGTGGAATACAAGAATAGTCAGAATAGTGACAATTGGTGAAGCCTTGCGTTTGATTGGCTGTGGCGAGGTTTTGATCACCAGCCTAATGTATCTATGCCCTGAACGCAAACAATTGAAATCAAGGACTTCCGCTCGGAAGTCAAGAGACAAAACTCTCAATGTTATTTTAAGTGAATTGTATTTGTAATGCAACACGACAAACCTTTTGATAATTTGCTAGTCAAGTGATTTGAACGTGTTATAAACAGATTAAGTGAAGTGTATAACTCTAATAAACACAGAACAGTTGGTGGAAGCTTAAGTTTGAACTGTGAAGACGCCTTCGTGCAGACTACAAGGAAAAATGTCGTTTATTTTCACGACACCATGGCTAGTTTGAAATGCTGGGATTGCGTAGTAGCGAGAGTCAAAGAGTGCTAGAGATTTTTCGAGGGTAATCAAGAGAAGCGTCTTTAATAGGGACCTTAAACAACTACGACTGTGGCGGTAGTGAAAACATCACTAAAAAAATGAATTTGTGTCCTTTCAAACTTTATCGCGTCTAATTGGAACTACTCAATTCGTCAGATGTAGACGACTTTTCCTGGAGTTGAATTCTAGCCTGTAAAAAGACGTTGTTTTATTGTTGTTTTCGTTCTTTTCAAAAACATCGGCGAGCGAAACGAGCGCGAGAAAGAAAAATAAAGAACGTACCGTCTATTTTCTCCTTCCCCCACCACTACCCCCTTGCGCTGGCTGTCAATAAATCCCCTGCGGTTTATATTCTATGACCCTGCTCGACGGACTTTGAAGAAAGAATAGAGGGTCTGTGAACAGGCTAGTTGGGTTCTGAAGGGATTTATCCATGTTCCAAATAGAGAAAGGAAAATTTGTCGTCGTATGTCCACGCCTTCTATAAAACGTCGCATTGGGAGGTTTCACGTCGTAGTCGTGCAGTGGACGTTAAAGAAATGTACTAAAAAGCGTGATGCACGTGCAGAGCTCTTGTTTTGGTCATAGAACCAATTGTTTATTGACGTTGTTGCAGTCGTCGTCGTCGTAGTTACTTAAGGTCCCTATTAACTGTATGCTGCGATCGAGCTCTCTCAAGCGGGAATGACATTAACGTTTTCTGAACCCCTAACCCCCGTCGATCCCCTCAAGAGCTTGCTTGTAGTCCTTTAATAGTGACTTCATCCAACGGTGGGAGGGTTCCGTTCGCACACTTAAAAATTCAGAAGGACGTCGCTCATTTCCCTTTTCAGCATCCTCATTCATTGCAATGATCATACCTGTGGCCAACCTGTAGCCTCTGTTGTAAAGGAACAAAGATTGGTTTGTCCCTAATAATTATATGCTATTTCCTGTGTGAAAACAGGGCCAAATCATCGGCAAAACCCGATTCTTCTAAGGATGTGGTGAGGGACCTCAGGATACCACGATCATTTGAGCTCTGTATGAGGGTTTTGCCGTGAAGGTTGTCCATAATGGTCAGACGTCCACACACCGTTGGGCATGAGAACGATCACACAAGGTTGCCCCCTTTCCATCCTCCAGCGGGAAGTCATTCCCGACCCAACTGACTTCCCCTGGGTCTCCGAAGATGCCCGCTGTCCCATGCAACCTTGTTCCCAGGGACTGGTAGGAGAGAAGCCCTCGGAACGAGGTTGGCACCCTTACTGTTTGTGGTTACTCTGGACTGGATGGTAATTGGACTGATAAGGGCATCTTAGAGCTTGGCCACCTTGAATTCCTTTATTGGGATAATCTAGCTTGCAAAGGGACAGACGGCTTTCACTCTTTATATGTTAAGGCACTATTCACAAAAAAATACCACAATTTCTGAGCGCCGGGAAAGCCAACAAGTCTCACTTCACAGAAATACCTTAAATAATGAAAAGACACATGCCCAAGAACGGAATCGTTCTCGAAAAGGGCAGCTCAGTTATGGAACTCTTTCCATCAGAACCTAACAGGAAATGGAACGTATAGGTGATTGACGAAATGCTGTTTTTCTCCTTTTAAATTTGAAACGTACTTCAATAGTAAATATTGAGGACCTCCCAGGGGGGGGTGGGGGTGCATGTTCCCTTGTTCCCTTTAAAAATTTACAGTTGTTCCCTTGTTCCTCAAAAATAAATTAAGGTGTTCCCCTAAATTCACTTTTACTGAGTTCCCATGTTCCCAGAAATTGTGCTCTATGTTCCCTTGATCCCCCAAAGTATTCCTCACTGTTCCCCACAATTTCTCTCATATTTCATTTTCATTTTCGCCTGTTAGAGAGAGCCCGCCCTGTCACTATTTTAAGAAAGTACCTCACTGAGATAAAATTTGTCGACAGGAAAACAGCCCTACAACAGGTAAACAAATGCGCAGGTAAAAACCTCAGTCTGCCTTTTGTTATTTACACAATACGACCCGGCTTTATTACCTAGCCTGAAGACAATACTAATGGGGAAATGGTGCCTAATACAAAGCCAACAACGGCTAATAGAAATCTTTAAGAAGCCTCCCGTCATACAACTTTCAATACAACTAATAAGTGCAGGAGTCGTGTGATGCCCGTCGCTTATTTTTAACCATATTTTAGCTTATTTTCTCCAGTTCTTCTACGAAGAACAAAATATATGATTGTCCCCAGGGCCCGAAAAATGAGAGAAATTGTAATAATTGTAGGCCCGGGGCTTATTTTCGGAATTTTACGGTATTTTGTCGTCAGAATGGCAATTCTTCCTCCCACACGTTAATTTTGAAGCACATTTTCACAAATTCACAAGAAGGTAGCAGGAAGAGTGAACCTCTTACGGCGCATCCTTTTCAGCATTGATACTTTTAGTGCCCAACAAATTTACCAATCGATGATTATGTCAATATTTACGTATTGCGGCTATAATAGTCTTGGATGGTCAGAGTCCCGTAAAAGCATGATCCGCTCCATTGAGAAACGAGGCCTCGAAATTATTCCCCCGAAATGCAGTCAGGAGAACTGCGATCTTCGATTTTTAATTTTGGACAATGTTTTGCAAAAGAAATTAAAGCATTGCATGCTGTTTTGTATTTGACTGCCTCCTAAGAATGGAACTGCATGTTTCCCGCTTAAACTCTTTTCAACGATTTCACCATAATTCTTTAAACACTAGAAACAATGGGAAAGTAACAAAGCTGCCCAAGGTGAAACTGGATTTTGCGCTCCGTAGTTTTTATTTTTAGGTGCCTCGATTCACTGCCATTAAATTTAAGAAACATTAATTCTAAAGTGTTTCTTAGGAAAGCCTTGGACGATTTTTACTTGTAACTTTTATGTTTTTGTTTTTATATATTTTGGATATTCTTTAGTAATTTTTATTACTTGTAACTTTTTGGAAATCAATGTTCCCTTGTTCTCCATTATAACTCAACAGTTCCCTTGTTCCCTAAAAGTTATTTTAAGATATCCCTTCACGTTCCCCAAAAGTAAATGGTCATGCATATGTTCGCACCCCTGGAAGACCCTCAACATTCATCCTCGGAGACCCAGGGGCAGATAAAGGGGGCGAGGGAAAGTCTAAACGGGCGGGAAAATATCTATGGAACGAAGAAAAGTAAAGAACGGCGAGAAGAGCTCTTCTCGCCGTTCTTTACTTTTCTTCGTGCCACATTTTCCCGCCCGTTTAGAATTTCCCTCGTCCCCACTATATGCCCCTGGGTCTCCGAGGATGCTCAATGTTGTGCTTTAGTGAGGCCTGCGTCACGCAATGCTTTGTGTGCCGGCGCGCTTAAACGTCCCCCTTACGACCCCTCCTGGGAAATAATCTTGTTCATTTCCTCTGCTGCATCTGCATGGACAAGTGTTTGCATAAATATTTATGAGAAAGACCAGATCCTCTGAAATACAAAGAAAAGATGTGAAGTATTGCAAAATGGGTGCCGAAATGGAGTTGCATCGTCTGGTGGATTTGGCGCTGCGTTCGCCAGACGCGGGTGTTGTGAACTTCAACCACCTTCACACTCTTCTACACGCCATTTTGAACCACATAGGTTTGAGCTACGATCCGCTCAGCGGAGAGATCAATACCAAACTTTCTGCTCCTACAAACGAAGCAAATGTTAAAAGTAC